TAAAGAAGGAAAATGAGGTTTTAAAGAGAAAAGCTTGTGATCTTGAGAATGTGATTTCTAAATTTACTTTGAGTAAAGAAAAATTTGATTCTATTTTAAAATCTCAAAGAAATGTTTATGATAAAGGGGGCATTGGATTTGATTATTCTAAAAAGCAAAAGACTTTTAAGACTACTTTTGTAAGAGCAAGTCAATCCTATCATCCTAATGTTACTTGCTATTGTTGTGGTGCAAATGGACACTTTGCCTATGTATGTCCTTTGAAAAGATTGATAGCTCAAGGTAAAGTGAAGCAAATTTGGATTCCAAAAGGAATTTTAAGCACTAACCCTCATGGACCCAAGCAAATTTGGGTACCAAAAATCAAAACTTAATTTTGTTTTGTAGGTAAAGTTGATGGCAAAGTCAAAAGAAGAGTAAAGTTGATCTTGATAAAGACTTAGCCTCAACAAGAATGTTGGAGTGAAAGTGCAAAGAAATTTGTTTTTGAATGCTCCACTCATATGCTCAAATTGGTATTATTTATTTTATTGCATTTATTCATTAAGTATAATTACTTTAACATGCCTATCAATTATTTGTTTATGTGTGTTCACTCTTTGATATATATGCTTGTTGAATATAATATCATTTGATGTGATTATTAAAATTTATGCAAATTAATGAGCTTGGCATGTTGGATCCTAGTGCTTGATATGATTCTTGAAATTAATGAATTTGCTTACTAGAATTTGTGCATATTGATGCTTTGATTTGTGTACCTTGATTATATTCATGCTATTTGATGATGCATACATTGATATATGACTAAAGTTGCATTATTTAGTAGTGGTTGTCCAATTTAAACTTAGTTAAATGAAGAAAAATCAAATTAAGGTGCATTCCCTCCAAAACAGCCCCAATCTTTCTGTTTGTCCCAATCAAGGCCAGTAGAGCCGGCTCAAGCTTTTTCACAACCGGCTCCACCAAAAAACCCAAGAGTCTTCTCTCTCTAGAGTTAAGCCGACTCCAGGACTAGAGCCGGCTCTCCTGCAGCTCTTTGAATATTTGGGTTTCTCTCTCTAGAATTAAGCAGGCTCCAGGACTAGACCCGGCTCTCCTGCAGTTTATGACTTTTGGTATTGATTGTCTATGATTTTGATGATTATATGCTCTTATTGAGGGGGAGTTTATTGGTTGATGATTGTATTCATGACTTTGGTTGTCTATGGTGCTATATTGATGATGATTGATGATTATATTCATTACATATTCTTGATGCTTTAAAGGTTAATAGCATGAATTAAGGGGGAGCATTTTGTGCTTAAATTACTTTTCTTAATGGTTATCATGCTTAAATGCTTTAAAGATTGATGTGCATGAATTAAAGGGGAGTTTGTTGATTATGTGCTTTTTGATGAATGA